TTTTCAATTCTTTACAAGAGAGAGGAGAGAGAGAGAGAGAGAGAGAGAGAGAGAGAGAGAGAGAGAGAGAGAATTTGACCTTGCCCAGAGTCACAAAGATTATTGCCCAGAGTCACAAAGATTAAAAAAAAAAATCAAAATTAAGGTGGTCAATTCTAGGATGAGAAATGTCAACAGGATTGTGGGAGAATCCTTGCCATTAAAAAGCTATTTTGTTTTTTTCAGAGCCCTGCATTTTGCAGATCTGGCCATGACTGAGGATTTGGACTCCTGCTTGATATAGGGATACAGTGGAACGCTGAGCCACCAGTCTCTGCTGCCAGGAAAGTAAAAGACAGTAGAGGCACAGAGTTTTCATTCTACTGGTCTGCTGGGGAGGGTTTATTTATTTATTTATTTATTATTTATTAAAATTACTATTTTTTAAGGCAAATCTTTGAAATGACATGTTTTCCACACTTCAAATGTCTTTCTCTACAGGGCTGTGGCCTCAAGCCTTCCCCATTAATAGCCCCTCTTTCATTCACATTTACGTGACTGCTTTTTCAGCATTTGAAGTGGTTTTATAAAATTAACTTGCTGACTTAATACCATTCAAGAGGGAAATGAGGAAGGAGAGTTGGCATGGCTATGGGACAGGGAGGAACTCCATGCCCTGCAATCTAGAAATGATACAGAAAAATAAATCCAGTGTTTGGGGAAAAGGTCATGAATAATCTGTAGATGTACAGGTAATTGTCTCTTAGGCTATACTGCTACTTGCTGTACTGTGTCAAGACTTCCCTTGTGGATACAGAAGGTTTAAAAAGGATAATATGAAACTCTGAATTCCATGAACGAGAATTTTTTAAACTGTTTAAATAAAAAGTAAAAGTTGGGGCTGGAGAAATGGCTCAGCAGTTAAGAGCACTGACTGCACTTGCAGAGGACCTGGGTTCAATTCCCAGCCTGGGATTCGAACCTGGATCTTCTGCAAGAACAACCAGTGTTTTTAACTGCTGCACTCATACACATAAAATAAAAATAATAAAATATTTTAAAATTAAAAAAAGTAAAAGTCAGGCTGGAAGTGCTCAGTGGTAGAGCATATTTTTAGCATGTGTGGAGACCTGGGTTCCATCCCCAGAACCACAAACAGTAAATAAGTAAAATGAAATAGAAATCATTTTCTGCAGCCTCCCATCTTCATCAATGCTAATGCCTTTATATTAAGTAAAAATGGAAAGAACTTTATTTTGGCTTCGCTTTTTAATGTCTCGCATTGGACACTAAGTTCTGTAGATTTTTTTTTTAAATTTTGAATTGTTCTTGTTCTTTTCTGCTCCCAGTTTACCCTACCCCATCTCTCCTTCCCTCCTTCGCTCTCACTCACTCAAAGGTCTCACTACATAAGCCCAGGCTAGCCTGGGAACTTATTATCCTCCTGCTCTACCCCCAGTGACTGAGATTACAGTCAAGTCTCACCACACCCAGCTTAAATTTTTTATAAGCATTGATCTAAAATGAACAAATATGCCCTCTCTAAATCTTCCTGTGCTATGTGATTCTGCGCTCCTCTATTATTCTAAGCAGTTTCCCGGTATCTTCCAGCCCGTGTCGACTGGCGCTCCTTCCTCATTGCTTCTCTCATCACAGCTCACAGTGACACTGAGACACACTTCAGCTGTCATGAGGCCTCCGGCCTTCTAAGTTGCTTTCAGTATTTCATTCATTGCTGCTTTGGGTGAAATCCTTGCTAGCATCATGAACCTCTGTGTATTAGGGTATGAGCACAAAGCTATTGATGCCCCTCATGAATGCACTCTTCCTGATTTGAGAGCTCAGTTATCTACCTGAAAACCTTCCAATATCCCAGGCACTGATTCTAGATGTTCAGATCAGTGGCTACAAGACACATAAAGGATGCTGATGGTCCTGCACTGGATCCCAGGAACAAGACAGTTCACAAAGCCGAGCTACAAGGAGTGGCCTGAGCCAGGGTTTTGACTTAGGGATGGTGATGGCAGATCATGAGCAGGTCTGTGCTATGAAGCTTTCCTCACTTCTTTGACTGATTCCCTCCTTAACTTCATCTGGCTTCTTATTCTTCATTTTTGCTTTCTGAGCTTTCTGGCTTCTATGCATTCATTTCTCACTCCTTTAATAATATTGCCTTTATATAGAAATTCTCCAGATTGTGGTTAGTTTGTATTTTCATGTTTAGCAGTGTTTTTCTTATAGACTGTTGATAAGCCTACACTGGCAACTTGTAGACTAGGCTTCTCCTGCCATCTGGCTTTGATTGCATCCCCTACCTCCTTGATGGAATCATCATTTCCTCATTTAGGGCTGGGCTATGTGAAACAGTCTCCCAAAGAAGAAAATGTCACTTGAAGGTGTCACAGTTCACTTAAGCAAAAATCTTTGAACATGAAACATCTGTGCACATGCCTGGACACCAGGAAGTGCTAAGGCAATGAAATGAACTCACAGCTATATCTAGGCACACTGTCCTTATTTCCATCTTAATGCCAATACAGCACTGACCCGATCCAAACCAATTCTATAGGCTTTGTGGGGAGAAAAGTCCTGTAATCTATTTAAGTTCAGGACAACCTCCGTGATATTACTTTATTGATCCCCACATGACCATATTGCCTTCATCAATGGCTTGGTGTTACCACTCAGATAGTGAGTATTAAAAGTTCCTTACATTTTATAAGCTATCTCAAAATAATGGAATCCACTTTTTGAGACACTGACCTTCACTCTCACCTCTATGAATGGCCTTCTTCTATTTACTTCATGTATTTTATTCTAGACCTAGCCATTTTCCCCATCATAAAAATTGTTATAATCTTGACTGCCCATGAAATAGAGCCTTTTAGAAAATTTCTTAACCTTGCATGCAGTATTTGGTGCATTCTATAAATTTTGCTGCCCTGTTAACCATGGCTTTGTGCAAGCCAAGTGGGCAATATATTGGCCAGACCTCAATAGAGGCAGGCATTTTACTGTGCCTCGCTGGAACTTGGCTAAAATGGGAATACTGAAAAAGGTACGGTTCCCCAATTGTTTTCCAGATCTAGGCAGTGGTTTGACTCACTTTAAACTAGGTAAGCTCTCATCAGTTTAAAGTCCTACATGCCACATTGGCCTTGGGCCTGAATGTGGAGCTCACAGATTCAACTACATTGCCTAGTAAGCCCCTGGGATCCTCCTGTCTTTAATCCCAGAACTGGGACTACAAGTAGATGTCACTGATCATGGCTTTTAAGTGGATGCTGGATATCTGAACTTAAGTCCTTCTGTTTGTGTGGCAAGTACTTTACTAAGCCACCTCCCCAGCCCCTGGAATCAACTATTTTTAAATATCATGAGATCAAAGCCTCAAGGGTTTCCTTTGTCTTTGAAATGAATGTAAGTATGATATGCACTGAGGGACACAGTCAGTCATTTTAACTAATATACCCTTAGAAGCTTGAGCCACTTAAGAACATTGAGATAGCATCAGTGAAGTAGAGATAAAGTATGAACATAGTTCATGCCCCCTAATATGAACATGAAGTGGAAGAAAATATTTATCTAGGGCTATAATGTATATGTATGAAAGCAAGACCCAAGTGTTTTGAGTTAGGGAAAAGAGTGACGCTTAGCCAAACTTACTACAATATTCCTAAAGCTTGGCAGCTGGGGCTGTGGCTCCATGGTAAAGCACTTGCCTCGCATGTGCTTGGCCCTGGCCTGATTCCCAGTACTGAAGAAGAAAACAAACTTGGTAGAGTTGTATTACCAACACAACACAGACACCAACACAACACAGACGCCAACTGCCACAGCTATTAGTTATACATGGTAAAAACTTATTTCTTGAATTCCTAGGGACATATCTTTTGCCACACAAAAGTTGCTTAAAATACAGGCAGGACAGCAAGTCATTAACTTGACCTTGTTTCATATTTTTAGGAGAACACAAAAAGGATAAGATTATTCTCTAACACATCAGGTGGTAAACTTACTGGAACAGCAAACTTTCTTCTTTTTTTCAAATTTCCAAATCATTTTGATGGATAGATTTCAAATTTTAGCAAAATCACTAATATGCATGCCTCAGAAAGACACTCATGTTTAGCTGGTGGACAACTTCCCTTCATTGTGAGGACAGCCCACTCCCTCTGGATTTCCTCATGCTCCTAATCTCTATACATGCACTTCAGCTTCTCAGGCTTTTACTTATTCCTGCCCGAGTACTGTTGTTCTCAAAATGTGTTTAAGCAGAGTACTGCTTAACTAGTTCTTACTTTAAAAATATAAATGCCCCTTGGATGACCCAACTATTATTACTCAGTTTTAAAACCCACTAGAACTCTCAGAAGGACTAGCTCAGGGGTGGACTTAACTTGCTTAGTGTGTACAGGGTTCTAGGTTCAGTCTCTAACATTGGAAACAAAACAGCCCACAGATCAAACAATATCATGTGCTAGCTGGAAGCCTACAATGACTCACCAAATTGTTTTCTTAATTTAGTGGTCATGACCACGAGCACCATTCTGAGTTCTCTGTATACCAGGAAATCAAAACATTATGTCCTATAGAGATTTTCATTGGGTCAAGGCACAGAAGACACAAACGCTCAAGAAACACGGGGGAATTTGAACATGGTTTAACTGGTACTAACACTGTATCAGTAATCAATAAAGAATGATACCGAGCCAGGTGTGGTGGTGCACGCCTTTAATCCCAGCGATCTTTGTGAGTTTGAGGCCAGCCTGGTCTACATAGTGAGTTCCAGGACAGCTGGAGCTACAAGGAGACCCTGTCTCAAAAAGACCAAAAAAGAAAAGAATGATATTGATTTCTTTGGCTTAGTAAAAACCTGTCAAAAACAAACAAGCTAATAGGCAGTTTCTACCGAACAAGGGGCTAATTCTGCTGCCTCCTAAGGCAGTCTATAGTGTAACTGAAGGTCTCTGCATCATTTCAGTAATAAAAAGCGTGTGCAATTCATCAAGAACTTAGACAAGGCTTTATGTTATATTTATTTATTCTCCAGCTTATACAAACTGGATGTAGAAGCATAAACATAGTACATTTCTACCATCTTCAACAAAAATATAACCAATATGTACAATTATTGTATTAAAAATACAAAAGGGATACAGACTCCACCAATGTCTTTCTAAAAGACATACAGGTACAAGTAGTATCAAAAGTATGAGGAAATCACCAGTTAATTGTACATTCTGCACTTGACATCACAGAGCGAACTGAGATTAGCAGTCCTATGTTCTACAATTACTTAATGTTTAGATAACATTTGTGCAATTTGTGATAGAGCTAGATTTTTGTCTTTCTATATGCACATGAGGTCCATAGCCTATATAGTAAAACTGGCAAATAATGCACATTACATGTAAAATTACAAATGCATAACTGACAATGTAATATATAAGTAGACAAATGCCATGACATAGAAGAGAATTATTAAATAAAGCACTGACATTGTTTGATACAGTGAAAAAACACTGCAATTCGACTTTTAAAATTTGAAGCTATTTACCTTTATCTACTGATCAATATGATCAGCTGAATTTAATGGAAAAACCCAAGACCAGCAGTTCCTCACATTTGAGGACTACTCGGATTGGCAGCCTTCACTTTTCCGGAGTCTGTGCAAAAACAACACAAAAATAGAGTGGTGGGGTCATTTTCAGTCATTCTAGGGTTAATAGCAGCTGTGAGCAGACGGGCGCTACACTTAGGCTTTCTCTACACGCAGCGTCCATAAAGCCACTTACAGGTCAGTCTTTGGTGACTAACCCACCTTGCAAAGGCTGGCGTATGTAACCAGGTTTTTGATCTTTAATCATATTTAGAGACTTATTCTCTAATGCCAATTCAACAAAGGGAGGCTGTCCTGAAAGAGCAGTATTAACAGCTGGCACGGGCTCCAACACCCAAGCTGCCGTACTGCAATGCTATCCAGTTATAACTGTTTCTTTTAAAAATAAAACCAAAAACTCTAAAACTCTAAATGAACAAACATGGAAAAATATAACTTAAAAACAGGGGTTGCCATCCATTGCAACTGAGCAGGACACACCCTCAAATGACACAGTCCTGCCTCATAAGGCTCAGACGGGACACACGAGTCCTAGTTCCCTCCCCTGGCCATGTGCAAACAGTTTTACAGAAGAACCTCACCCACTGGGGAACAAGTGCATGAGGAGTCTTGGTATGTAAGTAATTGGCTAACATTTGATGCTTATGGGATAGGGCACTTCACAGGCGAGGCCAGAAGGACGTGGGAAGACAGGGTCATAGCCAAGTCTTCCCTTGGTGCGGCCATACCCTGTCCGGCATATTTGGTTTTTCAGAAACCCAGGCTGGCAATCCTACTTAAGGTTCAAAATAATACTGTAATCATTAAATGGATATAACATTTACTCTCTGAACACAATCTTTAAACTTATTTGTTTTTTTTAAAAAAAGGATATTGTAAACAAGTAGACAAGGACTGTACTCAAAGAACTTCACTGTCTGTCTTTGTCTTCCTTAGGGGGTTCAAGGGCCCACGGAGTTCAAAGGCTAGCTTTTCTCAACTTCCAATGAGCTCGAGGGCGAGGACTGGACTGAAATCGACGATGAAGACCGAAAACTCCTTCCAGGCATCGAGAAGTGCAGCCAGAGTGAATCACCTTGTGATGATCTTGGAATTTGGAATGATACTGTGTGATGTGGCAGGCAGCAACCATAGGAACTCAGATTGCTGCACTGTGCATTTCAAGCAACAAAGTCTGAAAAGTGCCAGGGCAATTTCTTCACAGTATTTCACATGCAAAGGGGGAAGAAGAAGGGGAGAAGAAGCCCCATGCTGCTTTTAAGGCAGGAAGGAGGCAAACTGGTCCACCATCCTCAGGCTGTGGGTGCGAAGGCGCCAAGGCTTGGGACGTCTTCTTGTGCTCTCCTTTAGGTGGCTTACTCCACACTGAGAAGCCTGCGCCTCAAACAGCAGACACTTGTTCATCTTCTGCAAACATAGCAGAGAGAAAACAAAACAACAAAGTCAGTCAGTGAGCAGGCAATTTCTTGTGCTATAACATTCACAACTGGAGCTCAATTAAAACTCTTGATTTTTGAAGGCAATTTTAATAATTTTAAAAGTTTAAAAATGGGTTCATGATGTACATCTTTAAATATATATACATAATATTAAAAAGTAAATTGGGCATGGTGATGCAGGTCTATAATCCCAGCATCCAGGAGGCTGGGGCAGGAGCAAGAGTTTGAGGCCTGGCCTATGGTATCAAAACAATAACAATAAATTAAACTATATATATTGCATACTTATTAGTTGGAAAGTTATTACTAATTTATTGAAACTATAAAATAGCATATCATTAAAAAACATTTTTTTAAGACAGTGTCTCCCTATGTATCCCTGGCTGGTCTATAACTTGCTATGTAGACCAGGCTAGCCTCTAACTCACAGAGTTCCATGTGCCTCTGCCTCCTGAGTGCTGGAATTAAAGACGTGTGCCACTATTTCTGGCAGGATTGATTTAACTTTGTATATGTGGAGGGCATGTGTATGTGAGTGCAGTTGCTCAAGGAGGCCAGAAAAGTGTGTTGAATCCCCTGGAGCTGGAGTTACAGGTGGTTATGAGCAGATCAATGTGGATGCTGGAAACCAGTCCTCTGAACAGCAGTATTCCCTCTGTCCTCTTAACTGCTGAGTTATCTCTTCAGTCCGTTACTTTTTATAATATACAATAAGACCAGAAAGGGGGCGGGAGTAGTTGAGTGATGATGTAGTCAGTTAAAAACATTTACTGCTTTTGCAGAGGACCCAGGATTGCATCCCAGCACCCACACAGTGGTTCAGAGCCATCTGAACTCCAGTTCCAGAGGATATGATGCCCTTTTCTGGCCTCTGTGGCACCAGGCACAAATGTGGCATACATACAGGCAAACACTCACACACACATAAAATAAATATACATATTTTTTAAAAAAGCCCAGAAGGATATATAAAAACTTTAATATAGCACTTATCTATGACTAGAAGATAATATATAATTTTCACTTATATTTGTGATTTTGTTATAATGGCTACATGCTATAATAAAAACTTTTTTTTTAAAAAAAAAAAAAAAGAAAAGAAAAAGAAAGGTTGGGGGTCAGGATCTCACTCCTTGTCTTCAACCCAGTGTAGACAGGTGCATTTGTACACAGGAAAAGCCTTATGAAAACTATCTATCTTTATTAGCTTTTCATTAGATTTCTCATTTCGAAACTGAGTTTCAACTCAGTAACTGTCCAAATATAATTCTTCCACAAAAAACTTGAGCCATGTTTTAATAGGTCAAAACATTTCTCTGAATTCTTGAAAACAGTCAAAGTCTGAGATTTTTATTCTTATTCTTAAAACAGACCTACAAAAGTACTTCAGTTTTACTAAGTACTGGAACAGAAATCCAGGCTGCAGTGTGCCTCAGTGGTAGAACTTGGCTAGTACCCTGCAGCCCTGGGTTCCACCCAGGCACTGGAAAAAGAGAAAAGGACTAAAAATGCCAGTCATGCACACACTTTATTACAAATGACACTTCTGCAATGTCTGGAATTTCTTAAATCATTATTCATTTTGTAAAATCATTTAGTCCCTCCTGCCCCCAAAGAGTAAGAAGTGTTCACTGCAAGCAAAGTCTGGCTACACCTGGGGCTGGGACCAGCAGTTACCCAGGAACCCATGGGCTCTGGTTTTACTAGGCAAAGGCTGCAAAGCCTTGGGCTCAAACTGCGGGCTCTTCAGTTGGGATTCCATTCTAAGGGGCCTCAGGAGGCCTACCATCCTCGTCGGCAGCGAAACCCTGTGGCTGGAAGGGCACAAGGCGCGGGTCTGCATCACTGGGTCGGTGCCACTGTGGCTTGCTGGTGGGCCTGGGGGCGGTGGGTGGCGTCTGCCCGGGGCTGGGGGTCTCGGCGGGCCGTGCCACCATGCGGGACCGCTGCAGGGCCACATTGTAGTCCGGGGGCTTGCGGGCTGGGTGGCAAGGCCCTTCAGGGAAGTCGGTGATGGGGATGCCCACGTAGCCTGGAGGGGTGGGTGGCGGCTCGCGGTACCTGCCCTCCTTCCGTGCTGCAGAGACAAGGTGGCAGCGTCAGGTGTGCAAAGCCTTTTCATACTGCAACCCTCACTTGTCTAGTTAAAACATTTAGCAGGTTATTTCTGTGTGGTGGAGTATCTGCCAAGAAAAACTGCTATTGAAAACCAAGTGCATTTAACTATAAACAGATGACTTCAAAACCTGTGAACACCTAACTCCCTTAGACTTGCTGTGAAGATTAAAGTAAAATAAGGCATAAAGAGACCCAAGACAATGCCTGGCGTACATCAGTGTGGAGTAAAAATTGCCTTCCTCCACCCCCTACTCCCTTGTCCTGTGTCCAGACAGGGCTGGCCTTCCAAGTCTCAATATTGTCAGACTGAGAATCAAGTTCACATTTTTTCCAGCTCTCTAGGCTTCACTTTGGAAAACAGTGAATTAAAATTGGAAAAAAAAAAAAAAGCCAATTTAAAAACTCAAAGAAAACATCCGAAAAGGTATTTATTTTTCTGAAAATCTATGAATTCATTAATGAAAAATCATGAATTGTTGTCAACTACAACATGAAATTTGTGAACTCAGTAAAATTAAAGTTTTATTTTCTTGAGTTTTCTAAACTCAGCTGTTAGGAACTAAGAATCATTTTTAAAAGTGATAACAATTCTGAGAATTAGTTCATTAACAGAAAGTACTTGAAAAAGATCAGCCTAAGAATGTTGAACTGTTACTACCTTAAAGGGATATTAAATTTGACATCTACCAGTTAGTCAATGGTCTAGCAACTATTTCATTGTTTATAAAGGGGATGCTTATAATGGTTGTAGTTCCCAAGTTTTCACTCTATACAGCACAGTCTACCTCGCACTTCTGTTAGGCAGACATTAGAGACGCCAGGAGAAATATGAGGCTGGAACTGAGGGCCTCCAACAGCCTTTACATCAGCAAGGGCACCAGCATCTTTTGGGTGCTCATAACATCTTGACCGACCGGAATACTTTGCCCAGACTTCCTTCCACCCTTCCACTAACCCAATTAAGTAAAAATTATTCACTGATGAGGAAATAGGCAGATAGCTTAGTGCTTAACGAGTATCCAGACAGGGTTTCCATCCCCACCCCCACCTTTGTACTGTCTAGCATGTGCACAAAGGATTTGTTTAGTACGGAAACACTGTGTCTAGTAACAAAAATCGATTAAAGATTTTTTCAATATACAAAGGATAAAAGGAGAACCACTCTTCTCTGAGAAACAGAGGCACCCACCCTAAAATTAGAGTAGTTAGTATCAGTAACAATAATCTATTGATCCTGAAGGCTTTACTGAATGCTTACTTCCATGTTCCTACCCACGATACTTGCCTGTCTACCCCTACTCAGTTCAGTTCTAACCACACCGCTGATCTAGAACCATGTATGGCAAAGGGCAAAATGAGGGAGGAGCCAATAGCACTTCATCTGATTTCCAAATAATTAGATTATAGCCATGATCTAGGCATGTCAATGAACTCACATGCACACTCACCAATGAGCCCCTTTGTGGTACTCGCTGTCACAGCTATGTGGGCAGGCATGGGGACAGGCTTGGCTTCTTCTGTGGTCACAGGCGCCATGCTGCTGCTTTCTGCCTCAATGGAGACATCCTTACCACCCCTTCGCTTGATGGTGCCTGTGTCACCTTCTGAGTCTTCTCCCCAGTAGCCTGTGGAAGATGCCCAGCTTGCCCGGGATTGGGCTTGTTCAAGACTCTCTCGATTTTGATTTTGTCTGTTATACTTTGTGCTATGATCAGAAAACATAATTTGGTCCATATGGCTACCAGAGGCCCATATGCCTGAAGCATCCCCTGAATAGTCAAAGTGAGTGTGCCCAAACGGCAATGTCTCCCAGCTTCTCTGGTGTTGGATGGTCTGTATGTTATCGTGAGAACCACTTGAGCATGACGTCCAGCTCCCACGACCACTGTCAGCAGCATCGAGGGAAGCACGGTCCCCTTGGTCATGGGAAAGCTCCTCTGTGCTAGGAGAAGAGATGATGGTTGCTGTGGCATACAAGCCTCGGCTTTCAGACACTGGTGCATAGGACCTATCCGGCCAAACCAAGGAAAAGAAAGATGCAAGGCAGTTAAATACCCCCTTTGCTGTGTTGTTGTTGTTTTGAGATAGGCTCTTACTATGTATTCCAGGCTAGCCTTGAACTCATGAACCACCTACCTCTGTGTCCCAAGTGTAAGGATTAAAGGCATGAGCCTCCATGTCCCATAAAACATCTTTTTTTCCTCCTACAAAAGTAGCTTTTTTCCATCCCAGAGAGGATGAAAGCACTACTGACTAGGATAAGAGTGGCCAGTCCTGCTATATCCTTTACTCATCTTGTTATTATTACAGAGTAAACACGGGGAAGGGAAGAACTTGCTATGAGAAAGGAGCATTTTCCTTACAAGGTTAAGGAGGGCTGAATTTAATCTATCCAAGGAAGGCAGCTTATACACAGAAACTGAGGTGTGACCTAAAGTAACCTCCTTCCTTCGGCACAGATCCACCATGGACCAGTGAATAAACACAACTGAAGAAGCAGACTGCCTAACAAAAACAGCCTGATACTTAATGAAGGACTCACTGTAAGAGACATGGAAGGAGAAATGAAAGAACACAGGAGCTGATGCCTACCCTAAGCTGTACTGATCGGGCTCAATCAGGGTTCGCCGCTCCATCCTGCCCACACCTAGGTTGGTCTCCACAATGCTGACAGAATGCCTCTGGCGCCGTTCATCATGCAGAGAGACTGGAACTGAGTCAAAAGACGAATTGCTGACAATACTAGATCGTGAAGAAATTTCACTGTGACCAGAATCTGAAAAGTTATCCACAGTACCACTGGGAGCCAAAGTATAACCTGAATGAGAAACACAAACACAATAATTAGGCACCTGAGGCTTCTAAAATGAGACAGGTCTACCAAACAAATGCAAAAATTAAATGTCACCACTGAAGTGGAGTTTCTTTAAAAACTTTTAATGCTAGGTGACTAAGAGATTCAATTTTTTACTCTAATAAAGTTTAAACTGCTTCATCAGTGGTTAGAAAGGGACACACACACACACACACACACACACATTTTTCGAGCTAGGCAAAGATGAAGTAGTTTCTTCACAAACTATGGTATTTCTTGACCATTTCTGCTTCCTTAGCTATAAACAATTACTATTATTAGTTAAACCCAGCAGAGGGAGTAGCTCAAAGGCAGAACACTTTGCCTAGCATGCCTGAGACCCCAGGCCTTATTCTTCAGCAGTGTATGAAAAAAATAGAACAAAACCCCTAAAAAAAACAAACCTCATCAAGAACTGATCAGTCTTAAAACTACAACTCCAGCTGCAGAGTCAGTGACCTCATTTTCAACTGAGGATTTGACTTTTAAAATTTATTTATTTTTATTCTATGTGTATGGGTGTTTTGCCTGAATATAAGTGCATCCATGCCATGCAATGCCCAGAGGCCAGAAGAGGGTGTTGGATCCCTTTGAGCTAGAGTTACAGGAGGTTATGTGATGCTATGTGGGTGCTGGGCACAAACCCAGGTCTTCTACAAGAGCAGCCAGTGCTCTTAGCTGCTAAGCCATCTCTCCAGTCCAGAGGCTTTGATTCTAGAGTACAGTACAGAACACAATGGGAAGCATCTAGAGACCTACAATTTTAACTGGACATGTGCCGACAAGGACTAAGACCTGAAGACCATCTTTTTTGATTTCTGCCATTCAGTTTTAGTTGAATGACATAAAAGACAATTATTTTGAAGGATTTATACATTTTCTCCAGATCAACACTGTAAAAATGCCTCGGCAGATGTCAGCTTCCTGACCTGAAAGGGCTCTAAACTATTGGTTTTTTACTAAAAGTAATTTTGAAAGACACAAGGGAGATTTGAATTGACATATTTAATAGAAAATTCCCCAATCTTCTTCCCCAGCACTCAATTTTTAAATTTTCTCCAGTATTACTAAGGATTGCCTATTAAAGGGATGTAATTATATATAATGTAAATTTCTTCGGCTTTTTCAGCCTGGGGTCTTGCTATGTGGCTGGCCTCTAACTCTGATCCTCCTGTCTGAGCCGCCTCATTGTTGGGATTACAGGCATTCCATAGCCCATCCAGTTTAAAACATAATTTTTTTCAATGCCATTTATAAAACAAACATAACAAAACCCTGGAGCATCTGAATGGCAAGTCTACCAAGTACATTCCCGACATTTAAGCTGGTTTGTGATTCCTGATTTATATTTTAGAGGTTACACAGGTCTTGATCAGATTTACCATGCTCACTTATGTCTTTTAATAAATCACACTGCAAATTTGGAGAGACAAGGTTTAAAACCTTCCCTACAAAGTTTGCTCAAAAATTTGATGCTTAGACAAATTCTTCCATTTTCTTGAGCTAGTGAGCGAACTTCTCTCTTTCCCATCCCATTTTTTGGTTCTAGAAACCCCACCTATCCCACAGGTCCTCGGAGGAGCATTGTTATTCTTGTTACTGTTCTCACTTCCATGAGAAGAGGAGGAGCTGGTTAAGTCCAACTGCCAGGAGCCAAAAGATCTCAGCTGACATCCACTGCCACCTAGCAACAGGATGAGAAGAAAACTCAGATGGATCCACTCAGTAAGACCTGGAGCCACCAGATGCTCAGGGTCTCAGGGCTGGAAGCTAAAAGCAGGCTGGATTTCGATGTGTCACCAAAGTGTTCAGTTTCTTAGCTTTTAGCATTCCTGTAGGGAAAGCAAACTCGCCCATTTTTACTTCCAGCTGACACTCACTCAATAAAGGACGGGGAGGAGCAGCCTGGGGAGCCACATGGGAGGAAATTACCAGCTCTTTTAATAAGAGAAAATGCTGATGTAAGGATAGATGTGGTTTCTTTAATATAAAACAAGTCATCAAGACCTATGTTAGTCAACGAAAAAAATAAATCAGGAACATTAATTTTTCACATTTTAAATGCCTCTTTGCTGTATTAATGTTACATAATACCTAGTTGGAACAAATTTTAATATAAAATAATCTTTCCTACCTTTATGATCAGTAAAAAAAAAGATTTTAAAAAGTTCTGCCAGCAGTGATGGCACATACCTGTTAACCCCAGCGCTTAGGAGGCAGAGGTAGGATTTCTGCAAGTCTGAGGCTAGCCTGGTCTACACAGCAAGTTCCAGGCCAGTCAGGGCTCATATAATAAGACTTTCTCTAAAAAAACATAAAAAATTCCCATAAACAAATACCCCCCCCCAAATATTAAAATTTTTATATAGTTTTGGAAAACCAGGAAGGAGGCTAAAGTGGAGCATGTTGAGGCTTGGACATCCAACCAGAAAAGATGTTCAGGAAGGGCCTGAAGTGGAGAGATCAGCAATGCTCACCTCCCCCACTCCTCCCCACCCCCAGTTCAAGTAAGGGATCAAGAGTGCAGTGACCTGATGGGAGAAGACACACAGCAGACACACATAAGGGACTCTGAGAGCTCTCAACATCCCCCCACACCAGCCATAGCCAGGAGGTGATACATAGATCACAGCAAGCTGGTGGTGGGATTTGCTGCTCCCAGTTTCATATAACAAATGCTAAAAGGCATAAAAGAGCACATACATCCTGACATGATAATAGCAGGAGGCTGCACTCGCTTCTAGATAGGTCTTCCAAACTAAAAATCAGCAGAGGAACCTCAGAGCTAAATTATAGCAGAGTTTAAACAGGTACATACAGAAGGCTCCGCCTCAACACGTAGGGAATACACATTATTCTCAGCAGCACATGGAACCCTCTCTAAAACTGGTCACATTATATGCCACAAAACAAGGCTTAATGAATAAAAATATTGTAATAATCTCTTGCATCCTATCAGACCACAATGGAATAAAACTAGAAATCAACAGGAAGAATAGTTTCAGAAATTACACAAATACTTAGAAATTGAACAATATGCTTTTGAATGAACAGTGGGACTCTGGAGAAACCAGGGAGGAATTTTAAAAAATTCTTACGATTCAAATGAAAACACTAGCACAGCTTACCAGATCCTCTTAGAGCTAAGGAAGCCCTAAGAGGAAAGTTAGAGCTCTGAGTGTTCACATGAAACAAAACAGAGAAATCTCAAATAAATAATCTAATGATGAAGCCCAAGGTTATAGACAAAGCAAGAAGCCAAACTAAAATCCAAGAAATGATAAAGATTAGGGTAGAGATTAATGAAATAGAGACTAAAGAACAATACACAGAATTTTTAAAAATTACCAAATTAATAAAATTAGAGATTAAAAGAAAGTTGTTACAAAGTCTCCAAAGAAATACAGAAAATATCATAAGATACTTTGAAAACTTATATTAAACAATTTAAACAAACAAATGAAAAGTTTGGTAGAATTCTGAATCCTGGGCTTTCCTTTGTGGGGAGACTTAATGAATTACTTGTGCACTGTGGTGCATACAAATACACAGACACACAGACACACAGACACACACACACACACAAATAAATAAATGCAAAAAAACTGAAGAAACTAGGAATGGACAGAACATACCTCAACATAATAAAGGCTACATATGACAAACCTGTAGCCAACATTTTCATACAAGGGGAAAACTGAGACTATTTCCTCTTAAATCTGAAATGAGACAGTGGTGTCCATTCTCTCTACTCTTATTCAATATAGTGTGTGAAGACTTGGCTAGAACGTAAGACAAGAAAAAAAGCTATAAAAGGGATAAAACAGGAAAGGAAGAGGTCAAACTATCCTCATTTACAAATGACTTAAGACTCTACAGATAACACTGGAAAACTTTTAGATTTGATAAATACTATCAGTAAAGTGGTAGGCTATAAAGTCAATGTACAAAATTAATACCATTTAATATACTAATATCAAACATGCTGAAGATAGAAATCAGGAACAATACCTCATTCATAATAGCGTCAAAACAGAACAAAACATTCTAGGAATAAACATAACCAAGGAGATGAAAGATCTCTATAATGAAAACTTTAAGACTCTGAAAATAAAACAAAACAAAAAACCGAAGACATTAGACGATGGAAAAGACTTACTATGCTCCTGGATTATAGAATTAATATTGTGAAAATGGCTATACTACCAAAATTAATCTACAGATTTAGTCTCCATCAAAATTCCAATGACATTTTTCACAGAACTGGAAAAATGCTACAATTCATATAGAAACCCAAAAGACCACAGATAGACAAAGAAATTCTAGGCAGAAAAAAACAAGGCCAAAAGTATCATAATACTGACCTTAAACCATACGCAGAGCCATCGTGACTAGACAGCACGGTAAGGGGACAACAACAGACATGAAGACACAGACCGTAACAGAGGCCCCAGAAATAAGCCCATACAATGACAGCTACTCAATGTTTGACAAAAGTGTCAAAAACATACATACTGGTAAAAAGAACCATTTTTGTGCTTCATCTGCAGAAAAGTGGAATTAGATCCCCATCTCTCACCCTACACAAAAGTCAAGTCAAAGTAGATCAAAGACCTTCATTTAATACCTAAATTGTGGAAATTATTTGAGGAAAACAACTCGAGGTGTAGGCAATAACTTTCTAAGTAGAACCCAATGGCAAAGGCATAGTCCCAAATAGTTGCAAGAATTATCAAATGGGATTACATGAAATTAAGAACTTCTGCACAGCAAAGAAAATTGTTGGCCAAGTAAACACACAGCCTAGATAATGGGAGAAAACCTTTACCAGGTGTATTTCATACAGGGTTAATATCTAGACTATATATGAAACTAGAAAAATTGAACACCAAAATTCCAAAGAGTCTATCAATAATCAGGTCAATGAAATGAACAGACAGTTCTTAAAAGAAGAAACATACTGTCTGGTAAAGTATTTAAAAAAGTATTCAGTTTTCTTAGCCATGAGGGAAATGCAAATTAAAACTACATTGAAATTTCATCTCACTCCAGCCAGAATAGTTATCATCAAGAAAACAAAGGACAACAAATGCTGGTGAGGATGCGGGGAAAGAGAACCCTTACTCACTGTTGGTGGGAGTGTAAACCGGTGCAGCTACTATGGAAATCAATGTGGAAGCTTCTCTAAATGATAAAAACAGAATTACCATATGACCCAGCTATACCTCTTCTGGACATATACCCCAAAAGATTCTGTATCCACCACAGAGATACTTGTATATCCTTGGTTTACCATACTTCTATTCACAATACCAAGGAAATGGAATTACCCTAGCTGTCCATCAATAAATGAATCGATAACAAAAATGGTACATATACAAAATGGAATTTTTTTCAGGCAAAAAGAAAAATGAACTTATGAAATTTTCAGGAAATGAATGGAATTAGAAAATGCTACTTTAAAAGAGAGAACCCGAGCTCAGAAAGACATACTGGATCCTATCTTTTATAGATGTATATTTATGGGTAAGTCTGAGTAGAGGGGGTCTAGAAGGGGACTTGTGACAAGAGAAAGAGACACTTTGCAGAAGGGGAGCAGGGAGAGTCAGAGAATGCCTGTGACATCACAGGGGAAAGGGAAAAGAAGGGCACAAACAGCAGGGTCAGGAGATAGGAGCCAACCAAAACAAAGGTTTATGAACACGTCATAAGGAAACCTGTTATTGCATGCTAATTTAAAGTTATTTAAAATGTCCATATAAATTATAAAAATAATTCATATAATAGAAAAAAATAAAGTTTTTGTTCAGTATCAAATATAAATAAATGAATGAGAGACTTTGCATGAGGGAAATAATTTTGCTTCCTGGATGTACTTAATAGGCTGTGTTTCTTTTCCTTGTGTTTATTCTTTCTATAATTTTTAAGGGTGGAGTCTTAATGAAAATTCATCACAGAGCTCAGCTGTATTCAAATGTCTAGTGATGAAGCTTAAGTGACAATTTCTTAGATGTCTCTTGGGTTTGGTTGTAGTAGGAAGTGGATAATCAGTACTTTTACATGGCATTAACAAACAAGCTTGTGAGCTCATTACATTTTAATATTTGCACCAGTCTTTGAAAGCTGATTAAGAGCAGGTATACATACCAAAATCCTTCCAAATTTACAAGCAGGGGGCAAATCATTTGTCATGTCATATGAGAGCATTTAAACTAAGTACAATACCAAAAATCCTATAGTATAGAACTTCGAATACGTTGAGTGAAATGTGTGGATTCTGAGGGAGGGAACAGGAGGTCGTTTAGCTCTACCTTTCCTTGGTGAGCTCTGGGGAGAAGTGGGAGGAGACAACTGTGAAGATGCACTAGACATTGTGTCTTCTGTTTGTTTCTTGTGACGTTCCAAACTCCCTTCTTCAGACAAAGAAAGAATTTTCTTTAAAGCTTGTGGAGAGTTTATGCCTGTAAAAACAAGAAAATAATTCAGATATGATTTTCAAGAGTGAAAGGAGCTGGGAGTTGACTCAGTGGTACAGCATTTGCCTAACATGTACAAGGCTTGTGTTTCATCCCCAGCATCATAAAAATAAATAAATAAATGATCAAAGAATAAAAAAATAACTGAAAAGGAAATATTAAGTACTAAAAATCTCCTTAGTGTCAAAATTCAGTATTCAGTATTATCAGTTACAGAGGGTACAGGCTAAGTGGAGCCTGGACTGACTGATCATCTCTTGGAGTACTTGAACCACACTGCTTTTGATTTTATTCCAGATTCTAAACCTTTTTCAACAGTGTGTTAACCAACGAAGAAGAGGAAGAGGAGAAGGAGGAGGAGGAAGAGGAGGAAGAAAAAGAGGAAGAGGAGGAGGAAGAGAGGGAAGAGGAGGAGGGAGAGGAGAAAGAAGAGGAGGAAGAGGAAGAAAGGAGGAGGAGGAGGAGGAAGAAAACAGACAACTGGACAACATTTAGGATGAAGGCAGCATAGCCCATTTCAATTCTACTTGGATTCAAGTTTGGGTTGGAAGCGAGACATTTTGATATTCTTAGAAATCCCAGTTCTGCAAAGTAGAAATGGTAGCAGAGTGTAGGGTCAGGAGTTACCAGGAGGTAAACAAGGAAAGTCAGTAGGAGAGCTCTAAGGAATCTCATGTCACTAATAACTGATCAAATAAACAGAATCATAGGAGAGGTTCCCCAAAGGTGGATGAGCCAGCACCAAGCACAGAAGCACTGGAGGAAGATGGAGGAAAGAGAATCACCTCTGCCAACACGGTGGGACAAGGAAGTCACCTTAAAATGGTTCACAAACTTACATTATTTTCAGGCTGCTTTTAAACAACCAAGACATTTCTGGAAAGTTGTGACAGCCCGAAATTACCTCAAGGTTTTAAAAGCCACAGATTTGACAGATCCATTGAAAAGGAGTCTACAGGGCACATGAGAGGAATTGAAGGGAAGGTGGGAGGGGTGGAAAGGATGTAAATACAATCAGTATTCATGTATGAAACAGGCAAAAAAAAAAAAAAAAAACTTTTGAATCAGTGGTTTGATGCTTTTTTGTTGTTTTTTTTACACTTTTTTGAGACCTAATCTCGTGTATCTTAGGCTGGCTTCGAACTCACTAGAGCTGAGGATGAGCTAAAACTTCTGATCACCCTGCTTTTTTTTTTTTTTTTGCCAATTTCATACATTCCTGAATGCTGGGATGACAGGCATCAGCCACTGTGCCTGGTTTATGCAGTGCTGGGGATCAAACCTGGAGCTCCATGAATGCCAGGCAAATATTCTACCAGCTGAGCTGCATCCACAACCCCTTGATGCACTTCTTTGATTATACACAGAAATAGTAATATGCACTGTATGCATGAAAATATCAAACTACATTAAAACTACATGAATATCTGTGTGTGTGTGCATGCACATTCCATAGTTCCTTTTTCTAAATGTTATTACATTTATTCATGCTGCATGTGTAGAAGTAAGAAGACTTTGGGTGGGAGTCAGTTCTCTTCTTTGATTGTGTAGGTTTTAGGGGTTGAACTTAACAGGTTTGGTGTCAAGCATCTTTACTCTCTGAGTCATCTCACTGAATCTTAAAAAAAAAAAAAAAAATATTTAGTCTGATCTTAGCAGACTGCCAGAGAGTGCTGAGTTCTGGCCTCCCTCTGGCAGAGGGCTGGAGAATGCAGGGGACTGCCTGAGAGCCCCCATCCTGCCTCCACATGGTGCAATGCCCATCCCTCTACCTGGGAAATCCTGCCTCCAGAATTAGTGCCATGCCCATCCCCCTACCTGGGATTTCCTGAGACCCCTCTCAAGACCTCAGGGCAGATCTGGCTTTGGTAGGCTAAGGCTGAGATCCTAGCAGACAGCCTGAGAGAGTGGGTTTCAACCTTCATTGGTGCAGTGACTGATCTCAGCAGCAGACCACCAAAGTGCAGAGTTCTGGCCTCCCTCTGGCAGAGGGGTGGAGAACGCAGGGGGCTGACTGGAGAGTCCCTGGATCCTGCTTCCACATGGTGAAGGGAGCCTGAGTGTACCAGACTGGAACCTGAATTGGGCTTTTGTGGGTACTCCTGAATAGATGATCTGAAGCCATCAGTTCCGTCCAAATTAAACCTGAGAGAATCTGAACCCTGTACCAATCAGGTTTACATAACCAATAAAGAAAGGATTTAGGCACGCTGATAATACAAATAGAAGCATACTTCAACTTAATTCTTATATCAGAATCATAAACAACAAAAGAAATTCACATGCCAAAATCACAACGAAAGAATAATAAAATGGAAAGCCAAAACACTATGTCCCCGCCAAACTCCACCAATCCTGTAGAAGAGTTCTATAAGGAGAAGCCCCCAGAGATAACCTGGGACACTGAATTTAAAAGAACAAAAATAAACATGATCAAGGAATTCAACAAATTTAAAGAACACACAAACAACCAAATCAAAGAGCTGAAAGAAGATAGGGATAAACTTCTGAATGAATTCATAAAACAGATGGAAACATAAGGAAGTGTAAAACTCAATAAGCAACTTGAAACAACAGGAGAAAGCCCCACCTCTAGAATGAATGAAATGGAAAACAGAATATCAACACTGAAGGATAAAGATGAAGAACTGGACCACTCAACCAAAGATGATGAAAAATTTAAAAAACAACAACAACAACAACACAGGAATGGAATATGCAAGAGATGTGGGACATCATGCAAAAACCAAATCTATGGATCACAGGACTAGAGGAAGGAGAAGAATCTTAAACAGGATTCTAGAAGAGAATTTCTAGAAATTAAGGAAAGACATCCCCATACAAATACAGGAAGCACATAGAACACAAAATAGAACGGATCAGAAAAGAAACTCCCCACAACATATCATAGAAAAAACACTAAATGAACAGAACAAAGAGAGAAAACTGATAGCAGCAAAAGAAAAACAAGTCACATACAAAGGAAAGCCCATCAGAATTACAGCTGACTTATCAATGCAAACTATGAAAGCCAGAAGAGCCTGGACCAAGGTATTTCCAATAGATGCCAGCCCAGAATAACTTACCCACCAAAAATGTCTATTGTAGTTGAGGGGGAAAGAAAAATCTTCCATGACATGAAAAGCCTGAAAGAACACATGTCCACAAAACCAGCCCTTCAAAGGATACTTGAAGCAATTAAGAGAACAGAGAAACCATAAGAAAACTACAGAATACATTAGAAACAACTTAGTTACCAAAAATAGGAGTGATGATAGGACCAGGCACAAACAAGAATCAAAATGACAGCAACCAATACATATCTTTCAATAATAACCTTAAATATCAATGGACTGAACTCCCCAGTCAAAAGACAGAGGCTAAGTGAATGGATTAAGAAACAAAATCCAGGGGCTGGAGAGATGGCTCAGCAGTTAAGAGTATTGACTGCTCTTGCAGAGGACCCGGGTTGGATTCCAAGAAGCCACTTGGAGGCCACAAACCATCCTTAACTCCAGTTCCAGGGGAATCCAAAGGCCTCTTCTGACCGCTGCAGCACTGCACGACATGGGTGCACTCACACACATGCAGGGAACACACTCATACCACTAAAATTAAAATAATAAAATATTTTTTTAAAAAAAGAAACAAAATCCATCTCTTTGCTGTCTGCAAGAAACCCTATCTCACCTTCAAGGACAGGCACTACCTTAAGGAGAAAGGATAGAAAAGAATATACCAAACAAATGGTATTAAGAAAAAGCAGGCATTGCAGTTCTAATATCTGACAAAATAGACTTTAAACTAAAACTAATCAGAAGAGAGGAAGTGGGCCTCTTCATTCTGATCAAAGGAATAATAGACCAAGAAGATATTACAGTCATGAACATATATTCACCAAACTCTGGTGCACCCAACTTTATAAAAACA